GCCCATGTTTGTGTGTGTGTGTGTGTGGCCTGGCATTACTATCCTTGTGGGGACCTAAATCTGTTTACACAGTCAAGTGTGGGGACTCGCGTCCCTTATGGGGACATAATGGAGGTTCCCATGAGAGGAATCATTCATTTTAGGGTGAAGACTTGGTTAGGCTTAGGGTTGGGGTTAGGCATGTTATGGTTAAGGTTAGGATAAGTCTCCAGGAAATGCATGTAAGTCAATGTAATGTCCCCTGAAGTGATGTATACATGGTGTGTGTGTGTGTGTGTGTGTGTGTGTGTGTGTGTGTGTGTGTGTGTGTGTGTGTGTGTGTGTGTGTGTGTATTGAGGCATGTAGGAAGAAGTCAGAGTGGCAGATAAATGTCAAAGATGCATCGAGTCTGCAGATCGCGTTTCAGTTTCAGTTTCAGCCCGGAGTTGTAGAAAGAATAGAGCTGGACAACATAACTATATAGAGTCAAATCTACATATATGTGTGTATCGTATCAAGCTTGTGGCAAGAAGACAGATGATTTGGTGTTATGTGGGGCCAGCTTTCTCTAAATAAAGCACTCGATTTGCGTCTTTTCACAGCGCCCAGATCTAAAACGTTGGTGGAAATAGCATCGTAATTAGTTATCTCTTCAACTTGAAAACCGACTCTAATGAGATTGAATGAGATGGAAGGATATTTATATAAACATGTGGCCCTGAGCAGCTCTAATCCATACCTCCTAACCCTTTAGTGTTTACATGACCCACTGATGAACTCCCGTTGGTCTCACAGAAGAGGTGCCGGCAAAACAGTTGCTTTTTTTTTCTTCCAGGCAGCTATAACAGTACTGAGAACGTTATGTAATACTCCGGTGTACCCCCCCGCCCAGCATGACTCATTACACACACACACACACACACACACACACACACACACACACACACACACACACACACACACACACACACGCACACACACACACACACACACACACACACACACACACACACACACACACATTCTTTCTCATTTACCTGACGCATATTATCACTCTGAAAATGTACTGTTCTTATAAACTTTAAAAGACATCCCGGATATTCACGGTTGAATTTTTAATTAATTAATTTTTTTTATCATCTTGATTTTCGATATACATATTCAGTTACTTAGTAGATGAATATTATAATGTTCATTTGTTTTACTTTCATGGTTAAAGCACTCAAGAAACGCACATTAACACTTCCATTAAAGCACACTTAAAGGAGCCCTGTATTCTAATTCTCAGCTTCTATATTTGTATTTAGTGCCTCTATATTTACATATGACACACACACACATCCAGTTAGGTACATTTCTGAGCTGAATGAACACATGCAGTTCTTCAACACACTTGGTGTCAGTGGTTTGTCAGGTGAAGTGTGAGTCACGCCCTCGTCAGCTTGCAGTAAACCAAAGCTTTTGGGAAATGACATCAGCCCCAGTGTTAGACCACCTGCTACCTGTAAGTCACCTCATCGCGTCTGGGAAGTTTTAAAATGATGTCAGAGTCACTTTTCTTGCTTTTAAGAGCAGCTTGTAAGAAACTCTGCCTGAGAAGATTTCCATGAATTACCTTTTGGAAACATTCAAATGCACTCTGAGAAAAGGACTGCTGGCACAATGTCACATGTAGTGGATACTCTAAGAGTTATGATTCACCTGAGAGGGGCCGTGTTGAATTTGAGTCTGCCGCTGTATGCCTACTCTCTGCATCGTCTATGTTTTATGTAGACATGTAAGTTTTAATGATAAAGTTTTGCTTTTTCCTATATTACATGAGCTTCCCCAGTTAGATGGCAGAATCTTGTGCGGTCGACTGATAACACCGAGTGCTGGTTTACTTGGATATGATATTTAACAGCCTGTGCAGCATCTTGGATAGTAAGTGATCAGATGAAAGGTTACTGGCCTGAAATAATGTTTGTTCCCGTTCTCACCACTGAGGTATGCGGCAGCCCATTATGTTTAACTTAGATGAAGAATTTTGATATCTGAAATGAACCTTAAGACGGATGATGGTACTATGGGCCAAAACACCAGTGACTAAATGGGACCACTGATCGTCATCCTGCTGACCATTAGCTGCCTTTAGCTTAGCGGTGGTGACATGAAGTCATACGGCTCTAATGAAGTCCGTCTGAAGTGTTAGCTTTTACGTACGTTGCGTGCATTTACAAAAAATACTTCATCGCCGCACCTCTCTATAATTAGTCACCTTCAGGTTTACTTTAGTTCCTACTATTGTCTGCTGAAGGGCCAACCCTGCAAAGAGAGAGAAGGAGAGAGAGAGACAGGGGTCTGATGAGGTCTGATTGAGCACCTGGGCCGAGCAGGAAGCAGCTGGAGAGTCCTGATTACTGTGGACACACACACACACACACACACAAAACACACTTAATACCTGAAACACGTCAGGCTTCAGTAACTTACCAGGCTGAATTATAAAGATTAACTGTACAGTTATTAATCACACACATGCCCACTTAGATTTTCTCTCTTTCTCTTTCACTGTAACACACACAGATACACACACACTCACACACACACACACACACACACACACACACACACACACACACACACACACATGGCAGATGCTCTGTGTCTTCAGGAGGAGGACGGGGGGAGTCCCTGGCCTCTGGCTTACGTTGCTGGCGGCAACAGGAGGGGCTTTCCTGTGTGTGTGGAGATTATGCATTTATAGCTCTGCAGTGTGTGTGCTGGTCCAGAGGTTGCTGGCTGTATTAAGGCGAGATGGACATGGAAACCCGGTGCAATGTGCCAGGGAAGTATGCGACCACACCCCCCTCCCCTGTCTGTGCAGATGACGCAGTCTTACCTCATGTTGACTTTCAACAGAAACCTCAGAAATATGACTCAGGGCTTCATAGTTTACAGTCCTGCAAGCCATATTTTTAACCCGGAAGGTACTCAAAGGTGGAAGCATAATTAACACGAAAAAATGATGACTGCAGAACGATTTTATGGTTCATGTAAAATGTTCATGTCTTCACTTTGTAATCTTAAGAAGAGCTGCAACTTAAGATCATTTAATGATGTATTCATCTGTTGATTGCTTTAAATAGTCTTATCTATGGTAAGAAAATGCACAATAAAATATCCCCTAATTTGGATTGGCTGTGTTTGACTAACAGTCCACAACCTGTTCAGCTTACTGTCATACTGTATATCTATATATGTTACTGTTAAGGGAAAGAGTAGCTCCCATAACAGGTTCTAAAAATATGATGGAGGGGAAAATGTCTGACTCGTTAAGAGGGCCGACTCTGCAGCTGCTCACCATGTTAAAGTCTGGTCACATCTAGTAGCAGACAGAAAGCGATGTTCACACACACACACACACACACACACACACACACACACACACACACACACACACACACACACACACACACACACACACACACACACACACACACACACACACACACACACACACACACAGTGGTGTAATTGTCTGTTAAGGGCTTGGCAGATGTCCCGTGCTGCACAGCTGCACCGGGTCAATACATGCACAGTCACAGCCACAGACAAAACACACACACACACACACACACACACACACACACACACACACACACACACACACACACACACACACACACACACACACACACACACACACACACTAGCTGTGGTCGTGTCATGCTGTGTGATGTTTTGCTCACACGTTTTTCTATGGTCGGGACTTTTCATTAACGCATCATAAAAAAGGAGTTACTTCATTCATGTTCAGAATAATGATTGTTTGCTCAGCCGTAGGAGGTAATAATTACAAAGTGTTTGAGTAACGATTGATGGTGATGAGTTTGAACCTATTTATTAGTTATCTTGTATTGCTACTAACTTCAAATGTATCCAAAGCCAAGTGGATTGATGAGAATAAACGTGCAAGTGAGATTGCTCCAGAGATGTCAGTTTGTCGTCCACCACTTTGATTCAATCTTAAACATTTTAAAGGGCCATATTTCAGATTTAGATTTGTATGTTGTGCCTCTACTGCGAGATGTTTACATGCTTTAATGTTCAAAACGTTCTCAAAGTAAAACAAAAATGGAAAACCTGAAAATCACAAAGTATGGTTTGTAGAGCTTTCACTGTGGATGCACCATGCAGTGAAATGCAGCATTAATACAGCTACTTTTACCTTGTCTATTTACTCCTTGTATACTGTATTTACTGTATTTATTTATAGAAGTCTATTTATAGCTTGTCCTCTCTCCCACCCCCTCTTCCCGTTGCACAGCAGCCGACCTGTGACTCAGAAACCATGTGGTCGAGTCAGGGTTGTGTACGCACATAATTTCCCCCTCCAGGGTCACGTGTCCTGATGTGGGTCTGCCTATTTCTTTTATAAGAGAAACTCCTTTTCCCCTCATTGAAAGGTTAAAGCAAGACACAGAGTTCAGTGGATACCACAACAAAAAGAACAGAGATTTTTGGTACCTGTTGTAGATGTTATTGGAGACTTTTTGATTCATGATGAAAATGCGACACAGAACAAATTCATAAATTAAAGTGGCACAAATCCAGTTAGTAATCAGAAGGAAACTCAGAAGAAATATTAGTTTGGAGGAGTAATGAAGGGACCTGTTATGAAACAGATTGTTAATTAAAGTGATAGATGGCAAGACGGGAGGAATGCTACAGTCTAGACATTTCTCTTCCTCTCTTAGCTGGCCTCCTCTCTACAGATCTCCAGATGGAGGATTAACAGTTCGCTTGACTCATTGTCTGGGTGATGTGTTCAGACCAAGCTCCCAAACTCTCTGGATCCAAACACACACACACAGGGAAGTTGTTGTAGGACTTTTATGTATGGAGGTATATACAAGGATGCAGATTAAAGGAACTTGGGAGAAATACATAATAATAAAGGGGCCATATTCTGCTCATGTTCAGGTTCATATCAGTATGTAGTGTCTCCACTGGGACATGTCTCCATGCTTTAATGTTCAAAAATCTCTTTATTTTTCTCATACTGCCTGTGCTGCAGCACCTCTTTTCGCCCTCTGTCTGAAACCAGAGCCCAGTCTGCTCTGATTGGTTTGTTGGCCGGCTCTGTTGTGACTTGTCAAAAGCTTAGAAAATGTTCCGCCCCTTAGCCTATCACCTACAATGTGTTGGAGTGCTAGCCAATAAAATCGTGAGTGCTATAGTGATGTCATTATGTAGCGGGGGTAGTTGTGTGGGTGAGAAACTCCTCCATCTGGAGGGAATACAAGGATGTTGGCCTTTGCAGACCATTTAACCATACATATATAACCAGGTTTGGGGAGTAACGGATTACATGTAACGGGATTACGTAATCAGTATACAACAAAAAGATAACTGTACTCCTTACAGTCACATGAACAAAGATATAATCAGATTACTGGTACATGTTTTAAAATGGCGATTACTAGCAGGATTACAATGTTATAATGCATTTTATAAACAATAAATTATTAGAAGTAGACGTTGTTGGGGAAATATTGTCCTTATTAAAACTATCTTATTGATATATTTTCTCTTGTATCTGCATTGCATTTGATATTAAGGTATTTCAAAAGTGACAGAAAGTAATCACGTTACATAACTTTTTTAAAGGTAACTAGTCATTTTAACGGAATACATTTTTAAAGTCACCCTCCCCCAACTCTGTATAAAACACACTATACTGTAGGAAAGGGAAAACCCAAAAAAACACAATAGAGCCCCTTTAATAAAGTACAACATATTCCAAAAATAATACAGTAAACTCAATCGTGATGCACACTTTTCTTTTTATTGATTTTGTTTGTTTAAAAGAGCATCTGTTAGATGAATGATGTGACAGGGTATACCATTTTCTAAAACATTGCATTATGCTTTATATATTGTGTGTGTATTGAATGAAAAGTACATTTTACACCTCTGTTTTATTACTGTTATTGTAAGCTATGAAATGATGTCATCATATAATACATGTATATATGCGTTTGTATGTGTGTTAGACCCATGGTGAGTGTGTGTTAGTGTGGCAGTGCAGTCTAAAGGTATGTAGTCTGTGTATGTCAGTGAATGCGCATCATGAGCCATGGGAAGTATCCAGTGCTCTGCATGGCGAAGGTACTGATGAAGAAGTTGAGGCCTGTAGTGATGAAGACTATGATGGTCGCTACGTTGTTCAGGTAATCCAGACGTGCCTGCAGGGTGGCGTTATTCAGGTTCCGACGGCCTGTGACGCACACACACACACACACACACACACACACACACACACACACACACACACACACACACACACACACAAACACATATGCATGCACAATAGAGGAAGACAGTGTTCAAACTACATTTTGACAAACTAAAGGGCTACTGCTCATCTCTCCTTGAACCACACCATGCTCAAACGCACGCACGCACGCACGCACGCACGCACGCACGCACGCACGCACGCACGCACGCACACACACACACACACACACAGACAGACAGATCAACACCAAACGATCTTCAGCAAGAATGACAATGAGCATTGCATAGGATTTAGTTAAATTGCTAGATTTATTCAGCTCTTACGTACATAATCAAGGGATATCTCTTATTTTTCTCTATTTATGGCATCGAACCACAGAATCCTTTTTCTAAATCAAACACGTTTTCAGAAGAAAATATATTACACTTTTTTAACCACTAACCAAACAATGGGGACACTAAAAAAGTTGTCAAAACACATATTTGAACCCATGCAGAGTTTATGCAAACTATGTTATTGCAGAAAATAAAATAATGCATATTTACATAGATATTTTGTTGGTTAAATGGGAAATATTTTAGTTGGATTACAATGTGAATACATTATAAAAAGGATCAAATAAATGAGAAGTGTTATTTGATCTTATGCAGAATTGTGAATATAAATTTTGAATCAACATGTTGATGTGTGAGTTTATGAGGGTGTGTCAGAAGTGGAGTCGAGCCAGCAGCCAGCGGAAGAAGCCAGTCCTCTTAGAGCCGAAGAAGCTGACGAAGAAGTTTATCACTGTGGTGACGAAGATGACGCCTGTAGCAAGGTTGTTTAGGTAGTCCAGACGTTTCTGATTGGACACCACGTTCAGGTCCCTGCGGGCTACAACACACACACACACACACACACACACACACACCAACACACACACAGACACACAAACACACTATTTCAAACACTTCAAACACATCCAAACACACCTATAGAATTCATGCATCCATACTCACACATACACACTCAAACTTACCAGGCACGCATACAGTAGGCCTATTGCACCCATAAAAAGGCTTTATCATTCAGTCACACTGTCAAGTTTATTCTGACCCTAACTCAACAAATATGATTGACTCTAATGCATCTTATTGGTTTCTAAATTGACGATATTGAATCTTCTTTTCTTTAACTGCTCAGTACCAAGTTATTCAGAAGCCTTCTTTTCGAGAGTTAGACCAGTGGTTCCCAAAGTGGGGGGCGCGCCCCCCCCTTGGGGGCGCAGAGGCATGACAGGGGGGGCGCGGGAGACCAGGAGGAAAAACGGTTATTAAAAAAAAAAAAAAGATTAAAAAAGTCATAATTTAAAAAAAAAATTGTTGATTCGAAAATAATATGATACAGTACAGTACTATTACGTCTGGGTCTCTGTGTTTCATTAAAGCTTGGCTCTGTGTGTGTGTGTGTGTGTGTGTGTGTGTGTGCGTGCGTGCGTGCGTGCGTG